TCTATGGTGTCAGGTGTCAGTAATTCAATCAAATAGGGACTATCAAAAAATAATTTTTCTTATTTTCTACCTTTGTAATTATTTCATGACCCTCCTTAAACCTAACCACGTGTGGATGTCCTTCTCTTTGTACAGCCACCATCCCCCAAAACAACTGGACAAGTTGTAGTTGGATTTAAGAAATATGATAGAGAAACTTTCTGTTTTACTGGAGAAAGGAAGCAACAGTTGTGAATTCTGACAAGTTATGATGTGTGGGCTTCAATGGGTTGGGGTGTTTAGATGTGCATCATATACTAGCGGTGTACACATGGTGCCCTTCATGAGTTTAAATGCACCCTGGTAGCTAATGGATGTAAGGTGCCAACCAAGAACAGCAACACCCCTGGCTCCATCTGGTCCATCTGGGGACCTGTGTTGCATGTCATTCCCCATCTACACCCTCTCTCTACTGTCAGTTTTAATAAAGGCAAAATAATAATTAATGGGAAATTCAAAGGCACTAATTTTGAAGAATGAAACCTAAGAGGGATCTATTGATTGCAGTTTCAGGGTATAATTTGCAGTGTTCAGGTATGAATTATTCATGTGAATAATTAATTGAGGTTTCAAACAAATGGAGTGCAGTGAGTGACAATGTGTACAAATGTGTACAACATTCAACACCCTCTGGCCTTAAACCTTGAACATTAAACAGGAAGAACCACAGAGGGATCCCTCTCCCAGGACAGACAGACATGCAATAGATGGACAGAACTCTCCATTATACAAAAATTTCTTACACATGAAGATTCTAAAATATATGTGAAGGATGTGACTCCAGGAGGATGCTAAAACAACTTCAGACAACATGTGAGTTATAAGAGATTTTCATGTGTTGTCAACAAATTATAGCTGCTGAGTGATGAACTAAAGTGATTCCTCATTCCCCGGCTGATTACTATGAGTCACAGAAACTCTACCAAGGATAAAAGAGCTTTTAATGAGCATTAGGACCATTAAAGCTGCTGAGCACATAGTGGGTGATATTATATCAACCTTAAAATCAAGTTAAAGAATGAATCAGTGCTCACATGGGATTTACAAGGTATACATGTAATGGGCGCCCGGCAGCAGTAGATGTATAACTGTGGCAGCTGCCCTGGAGGGCCACTGATAATACTCAATCTAACAGACCTCATTAAGGAACCCTTGTTTTTTACCTTCTTCATCTTACCCGAGATCTCCGCCGCCCGTCACTGCCTTCATCAGAGGTGATGAAAAAGCACCCGTCTAATCATTTCTTTTTCCATGTGCCCTGGTCGTAGAGTGTGTGTGTGCCTGCACGCTGGCTGAGATTATTAACGGTTTAATGGCTAACGAAGCCTGACAGGTGCTCCTCTCACTGAGATTAAGGACCGGTGGGTTAATGACGGTGTGGGTGAGATTGTCATAACTCACAATAAGGCCATTAAAGTGATATTACTGAGAAAGTCTTCAGCTGATATGGGCTCAACTCTCCAAGAAGGTGGCATTGGGCGGAGGGCTCCTGCCATTTTTCAAAGAATTTTTTCTTCTCTTGCCTGAAGCTCAGTGTAAATGGGCTTCGACTCAAGAAGAATCTTTGGGAGAAACGAGTGACGAGACAAAGGAAGAGCTCCTGCTGCTCCCCTCAGCCGTAAAATACTGCTGTAAGGATGCAAGGGATGCAACAACAACAACTGTAATCACATTTTTACTTTGAGCTTTAGATTGTTGTTATTTAGACAATCTACTTGGCTTAGAAATGTGACTAAAGCATTGTGCGATGGTGATGACAAAAAACCCCCACAAAGAACAACTCATTTGTATTTTATTTTATATTTTAATTATTTTCTTTCCCTTGCTCCTGGACAAAGAAGAGCACATTCCTCCACTCAGAGGAGCACTGATCACCAGTTGAAGCTGCAGGACAACAAGGAAGAGAGGAGGCTCTTGACAGCTGCCTATGCAGTTCGCTACTCCCCTCTGGTGGTCAGTGGGGGCCACTGCGCGTTCAGGACAAAGGAAGTACAGATGAACAATAGAGTTGACAGCAGAAAGCAGCCACAGAGCCAGAGGCAAAGGTCCAGGGTGGATGCTGTTGCAGTATCCTTTCCCCAGTGGACAGTTTTTATGAGCATACATAAGATTTATAGAAACATTGGCTAATATGGATTATTGTGGAGCATTTCAGTCTACAATGATTATTCCTTTGATGACTTAAAATAAAACAATAAGACACTCAGGATGCATGATAATTGTGGTCAAACCTCAAGCTCACACATAAATATAAAGTAATTATAAGGCAGCAATTAGAGACTATACAGGACAATAGTCTGCTGTACGATACGATAGTACAATAATCTACTGAAAAACAACTAGAGGGGTTTGAATATAGGCCTGTAGAATAATTGTCACGGTTTTGATGTAGAAATAGTGGGAAACATACACTGTTATGAATATGATTGGATGTCACCCTTGAGGTGGTAGCTAAGCTGCTGAAGAATGAGTCAGTGATTGTGAAGCATGAATGAAGCAGCTGATGCTGATCAGCTAAAGCAAACACTTCCCTCCATCTTTTGTCATGTAAAGCATGTGTTCAGCCAACTATGCACAGTCTGTGTCATTATCTTACTTTTTTAAAACATAAAAAAGTGTCATATTTGTGTACATGTTTTTTATTTGCATATTAACAACTTGCCTTTAAACACATGCACTAGTAAAACTGTGTGTTTCTGATTTTGGACACAAGTAGACAAAAGCAAGCTTAGTATTTTTAGCTGGCAATCAGGTGAAACAACAAGAGTCACTTACTGTTTTTTTTTTAGCTCTAGCGAGTTAGCCAAGCAAGAGAATATTAGCTCCAAGGAAGAGCAGACTTTTTCACAGCCAGCTGTTTTATGATGAGAATCCTCTATAGAGGGTTTTAGAATATGCACTTCATGGTGAATTATTGTGCTGGAAAAGTTTTCAAGTCTCTTAGGATGCAGAATAACTGATACATGTGGAAACAGTAATGCTATCTCAAGTAATGTAGGCTTGGGTTGTTGGAGTGTAAAACTCTCCACAGATCAGGACAGAGCTAATATAACTCTTATAGCATCCTGGACAGCTTCCATACAGTGGGGAAATATGATACAGTGGATGTGATAGTCATGGACAGGCGTAATGTCGGACAATTGCTGTGTAGGAGAGTGAACAATCAGTTGGGATGATAATGTTGCTCTCTTTCTGCTGAATCTGTGTAAATCCAACTGTTACTATAAAAAAAACCATTCACAACAACTTACTATGGTGATATGTTTTTTTTTTTTTTTACTTTTACTTAGAGAGAAAATTCTCATTTACAATGAGGCCAAGAGGCAGTGGCTGGAGGCAAGTCAATACAAGCAATTAAAACATAGATACAGTCGTATGAAAGGACCAAAGGAGGTGCAGACTTTAGGAGTGACCATAATTAATTTGCTAGAACATAAATTATGGTCACTGTTGGACAGGCCTCTCGTATAGCCTGAAAACCTGGAAAACCTGAATATTTAGATTGAGATTGTATAAAGTCATGGAATTACATGGAAATACATTTTAATGAACAAATATCCTGGAAATAATCTATGTTTTCCCCGGAGATGCTGCAGAAAATCAGCTGCGCTGTGAGAACGGCGGAGTGTCCCATAAATGTTGAACTGTATTGAACCTGAGACACTAAATCATGAGCCCTTCATCGTTTAGGAAGGAGGGATACAACTGGAGTTAAATGTGTCAATACCTGGCCTACCACAGTTGGTAAATTATTCTAGGACTCAAGGTGAAGCAAGGGCCTGTATGTCCTGTATTGTCAAGAAAGTTCCTGTAAAATGTCCTGGAAAGGTTCTGGAAAAGGATTGGAGTGGGAACCCTGTTGGAGATATTGAGTTGTGAGTGGAGATATGGAGGGTTTTTTTTGTTTTTTTTTACCAATGATAGTTTAATGAATGAATTCAAGGGAGCATTAAGGGTTAAAACAATGAATTGAACAAATTATTTTATTACCAAATTGCAAGCCTAAGAGACGACGTTGTAAGAGAATAATTCTTAAAAACTTACTATCCTTGTTTCATACAATATGACACCATTTAGATAGTTATGACTACATCTTCACAAATACTGTGCAACATATCACTTCACCTCTCACTCTTCATATGAGTCCCCTGTCTCAAATTTTGAGGATTATTTTTGCCCTTTCAGAATCTGAAAGCTCTATAGCAGAGACACTGTAGATGTCCATTTTTTTTCAGCCTCAAATCCCCCTGAAGAGGTCCTGTGCTTTGAATCTGTGTCACCTGCAGGGGTCAGAGCTGCCACTCGAGCCTCTGTACCTGTACCTGAACAACATTCACCTGTATCCTCCGGGGCCACACCCAGTCCTGGGCTCACACCACCTGCAAGCCTGAGGAAAAGCAATCAGATTTCTGATCTACGCCACAGGCTTGTACCTGCGTGGACATAAGCACTATACAGATATATTTAGTCATCTTTGCACTCACGTCGGCTCACCTGGAAACACCTGAGCTACAAGATCTTTTTTTAAGTTGTTTTTTTTGGTCAGTTTTTCTTTCCAAAACCCAGGGCACAAACTGGTTTAAATCTGCTCCACTTTGGACATAAAGAAAGACTAGCAGGGTAAGATTTGTATTCTCTGTGCTTTAATGTCTCTGCCACAAGTGAACACTGCTTTCTCAAATGGCTTTCCTTCCCCTATAGATCTCCCATTAACAGATATCTTTACTGTTTCTCACAGCTGTGTGTGTTATCATTAAGACTCATTGTCAGCAATGTAATTTTCACAGTAATTTCGCTGGGATGTGAGCTGGATGTAATAGCACAGCATGCGTGTGAAGATTGGCCATGTAGACTCTGTTGCCCTGTGTGTGTGTGTGTGTGTGTGAATGAGAGATAGAAGGTCTCGGCTGATGAAAGAAGAAATGCTATAATTTATCTTCTCCTTTTATTACAGATTAAAAATGGGCTGCTTCACATTCGTCAAATTGATGATGTTCTTGTTCAACTTGCTTATCTTTGTGAGTATGTTTCTGTTTTGATTGCACGCTTATATATGAAGAGGGGGTTGGGGTCTTGGGTGAGGGTGGGAGGGTTCACAATCTTTACATGAAAAGTCATGTGTGAAGTAAAAACAACAAACAATAGCTTTCAACACATAGAAAATCATTTCACTCCGCCTTTCAATGCAAACAGACGTTACATAAACATTTCAGATCACTGAGGCAGATGACCTAAATGATGCTCCTCTCTCCTCTACTTTCTCCCCACCGCGGCAATTTTCATCTCATTAACTTCAAAGGCTCTAATTTTGCCACCTACATTGTCCGCTTAATATCTAATGTGGTTTGTGAAATGGAGAGAAACTTTGGCAAGGGTAAGCTGAATTTGCCTGCCGAGTCGGGCCCACCTGGGCTCCCGCTGTCACAGATGAAGCTCCCAGCACGTCATCATTTTCCTCACATTTCCCATTTCTGCCTGAGTGCCGCTGCTTGATAAATCTGGTGCGACAGCTCTAAAAGTCACAGCAGCACACTGATTATGATGCCCCCCCCCCACCCCGAAATGTTAGCCGGCAGAGCAGAATGATAAAAATTACTCTCTTCAGCTCGTAAACACGATACTTTAATGTGGACACTAAAACACTTTAAAAGCCACTGCAGCTGCATTTCAAAGTTTGGTGTTGCAACGTTACCATCTCTGGTCGTCTCCGGTGTAGATCTGCATTTAGACAAGTTATCTTTTGAGGAAATGACCCCCGTTGTCTATAGGGCCAGGGGGAAAAAAATCAATTTAGTAAGTAAAAATCAATACTCTTGTGTGAATGTAAGTGAGTGAGTGTTGTACATAAAGGACCAGTGGGTAGTATTTGGTGGCATCTAGAAGTGAAGTTGCAGATTGCAACCAGATGAATAAAGCTTAGCCTTACAAGCGAGTAGGAGAAGCTATGGTGGCTGCAAAACCTGTTAAAAATGCTACGGCCCTAGCTAGAGGCAGTGATTGGTTTGCAGGCTTAGGGATACAATCAGGATAATCAGGATACAAAAACAGGGAACTATAATCCATTACAGTTCCAGAATAAAAGACATATAATAGACAAAATAGAGATTATTTAGCAGGATTACATTTTTGATGGTAAAAACCTTTCCATTTTCATTTTTTTTCCATTTCCACACTTGCATCAGTACTTCTTATAGATCAATCTTTTCTCTTTTTATTTGCATATTTGGTGAATACTCTGTTGGTTTGCCTGTTCTGGGATGTAAGAGAGGAAACCACACGTAAGCTGTCAGTAAGATGTGTTTACTTCAGTAAAATAGAAAAGCAAAAAGGAGAACAAACCAAACCAAAAGGGTGGAAGCTAGGTGAAGGTGAGAATTGGTAACAGTCAGACCACGTGAACTGAATTCTCCCTAATGACCATTCACTAAAGCTTCAAGCTCCTACAGTTAGAGGACAGAAAGTCACGTTGAAACTCCCTTTACACTGTGTGATTTTGGGTTGTACCCGACAAAAGACCCCGACTGAGAATCATGAGAGAAATGATTGAAATCTTTGTTGTCAATTAACAATCAAACAGTAGGGTGACCAGACCTCAACAAACAAATTGTGAGACAAAGGGTATGTTTGTGTGGGACAATGTGGGACACGTTACCAATGCTGAGAGGTCTAAAATCTTTATATTATTATCTCTATTTATAACTTTGTTGTAGATGCATGTCCTTTTCTTTGTGGTAGTTTCCATCACATTCTGCCTAAATCTGCATAGCTTAAGACTTTGTGGCGATCACAATTTTCCCTGTTGGGCATAGTTTAGCAAAGACAGTGACAGATTAACCTGCACTTGACCCACGTGTGTGCAGTTAGACATCAAACTCAACCCTGTGATGACAGCCTTCCATGCTTTCTTCACAGTCATTGGATGGAAGCCATATTTTAGAAAAGCATCTGTCCTGCAGTGATTTGACTTTTGAAAACTAGAACTGATCGCAAGGTTTGCTCAACATGTGGGAAGTGAGACAAGCGATAAAAGCCTAAATTGGCGGGGCGCTGACCAGGGTGTTGTATTTTTGATGACGTGTTTTTCCATAATAACATGTCTTACAATTCCCCATGCGTTCATCACACAGGTTGCAACCAAGACTCAGTTGGTGTGGCGTGTGATGTGATGAGCTTGTACAGTAGGTGCCTTTAGAGGGGGCTGTCCAAACTGCAGTATAAACTGGCATTTAAGATGACTTCTGATTTATTTTTTCCAGTCATCACCAAACGTTGTCCTGAAGCATGCAGATTTTATCTTAACAAGCTGAGGAAGCTGTCGTCTTTTTAAGCATGCACTGTTATTGATTGATCTTAATTCTTTAATCATTTTATCTTTTAATTTCTGAAAATAAATGTAGCTCATTAGAGACTGGACTGTAACAGTAGTATGTAAGTATGCAAAAAGATACCTTGTGATTTTGTGTACATCCTTCCTCTTTTGGGAGGCTTTGGTTTGCCGTTTCCTTGGAACCGATCTAAATGCATTGGAAATTATAAGTGTCTCCATGTATGCTCTGCAGATCCATGGTCGAGTGTCAGGACTTAATCAGATTGTCTGCTCCCTGTAATATGACCCATGAAGATGGGTTTTATACTCAACTGACGTCTTTCTCATTCCAGCCCTTTCAAAGAGAACCAATTCCATTTCAATTGGGGTGGGACGGCCCGTTCTCTTTTCTGCTCCCTCTGTATCTTTCTATCTCTTCTCTCCATTCACCTCCCCCTCTCTGGAGGCCATGACCTCCTATTCTGCAGCATGTTGTTCATTCCCTCCCCTCTAACCCTAATAGGTTATATTTCCCATCTCCATAGATGGGACGATGTTTGTTCTTTTCCCCCTACTCTTTCAAAACCCGATTTACTTCCAGTCCTTTTGCCATGTGGATGTTCCACTGACATCCAACTGCATATGGCACAACATTAAAGGGATTAGCCGTCTTAAAAAAAAAGAAAAGACAGTGTGCCAGCTATAATTATACCTGGTGAGGGATGATGGTGGCACACATGGAGTTAGAGGGGGAATATGCTTGTCGTATCACATTTAGCTAACAGTGAAGTGATGGCACTGAACAGGTTCAAGAGACGAGAAAAAGGAAACCCCAGAAAGAATGAAGAATAAAAAATAGATAGGACCAAAGCAGGGAAAGGTAGAGACAAAAAGAAGAGGGGGGAGAAGGATCCCACGTGGGAGACGTCAGCGTCTGACAGGAGATGTGGAGTGTCGGGGGCCTCATGTGGAGCAGAGGGGGGCCCCTGAGTCTGATGGAGCCTGACAGACAATATCAGGTTTCAAACATGGTTTCTGCAGAGTAGGAGGAAAGAAGAAATCACTCAGTACGAGTGCAGGGTGAAATACACAGAGGGGACAGAGGAGGATAAAAGGGTGGAAAAGAAAAAGAAGTGACGGTCGGAGGTGGACAGACGAGGAGGCAGAGAGAGATAATGACAGTGGGATCAGGTGATTTCCAGACTGTAATGTGAAACATGTGACATAGTTCTGATTTTGTTAGCTATGAGCAGGTCTTACAGGTTTTGACTCAATAGATTTCTATGAATGCACTTCAGTGTCCCTTAATGAAATGATTGAATACCAAAAAGGCGAAAAAACAGAGCATTTAATCACTGTAAATTCTCAATTAGTGGCCTTTGTCAGCCTTAACTGCAGTGGAGCCTTTATTCAGAAAAGTGTTATATTATAAAATGGTTGTACGTTTCTCCTTTTTTTTATATTTTATACCATGATTTTCCATATGGGTTGTCTAGTCCTTGTCACTATGTTTCCCACTTAAACCTGCAGAATTTAGTTGCCGAGCTGACAAAAGAAAGCTTCCTGTGTCTTTAGAGGACATCTTCCCTCTTGACTGTCCATGCTATAATCCCATAGTCTGCTTCTATACACCCCAAGGCTGACTTTATCCACTGGCACAAGATGATCACTAAATGGATTTCTGTCCATTATGCCTGTCTGACATGAGTGTGGAGGTAGAGGCATTCATGGAAAAAGGGCATTCATTTCGTTCAGAAAGGTAGAAAGAGGCCAGGTTGTTGCTTGGCCTTGATACGTAATGGGAAGCCTGGGGCAGCACCTCTCCCTGCCTCGCAAAAGGAATCGTGCTCTCTGACTGGAGAGAACAATATTGAGGTGTGTCATGGTGTCACTAAGAGGTAATAGTAAGAGAGGGTTAGGGATGTAAGATGGCCTCTCATTTCCAAAACCTATTACCTCCCGAGAGCTGTTGACCCCCACCTGAAGGACTGCCAGTCAAACAAATGATTGACATTTTACTCGCCGTTGTTAAGTGTGGATTACATCCCCGGTAAAGCTGACTGGTCAATGTCCCACTTCCCTAAATGCCAGGGATTTGTGTGCTGCCTACATGCTCTTGCATAAAATGTATGTTGATGATGTTTTCCTGGATCCTGCAGCTGGGCGGCCTGACCCTGTTGGCCATGGGGATCTGGGTGAGTGTAGATGGTGGCTCCTTCCTCCATCTGCTGGGGCCGTTCTCTAGCCAAGCCATGCAGTTCGTCAACGTGGGTTTTTTCTGCATCGCCATCGGGGTCGTGCTAGTGCTGCTGGGGCTTCTCGGCTGTTGTGGGGCCCACAAAGAGAGCAAGTGTCTGCTGCTCACGGTAGGTGTAAGAGACCTGGTTGAGAATGTGTCAAGACTGGTGCAGAGACAAGTTGATGGTGCGGTGGAGGTTTACTACACCAACATGCCCAAGATAGCAGAAATTGGGTCGTGTGCAGCAATGCAATGTAAATTCTGAGCAATGATGATTGATTCTTGAGTTTCCCAGTTTGTCAAATACCAACGCTTTGGTTTGGTGGTAAATAGGAAACAAAGAGGCTTGGAACCCAAACACAACAACAGTGGGAATGAAACTCAACTATCTTTCTCCAGAATTACTGACAACACCATTAAGTTCCGCCTGGCATTGATTCCGGATACCATTTTTTAAGTTTTAGCTCAATAGTGCACAACTGTATATTTAATAATAGATATATGGTGTAACTAGAACTGGTCAGTTCTATTCAATTCAATTCAATTTTATTTGTATAGCGCCAATTCATAGTTCAATCAAGTTATCTCAGGACACTTTTCAAATAGAGCAGGTCTAGACCAAACTCCTTTTAACATTTACAGAGACCCAACAGTACCACCATGAGCAA